CGGCCGTATGTTCTGGACGCTTGGGTGAAGAGAGGAGCAGAGCTGTCAACTGATCACCACCTGGTGGTGAGTTGGATCAGGTGGCAGGGGAGGATGCCGCGCAGACCTGGCAGGCCCAAACGAGCAGTGAGGGTCTGCTGGGAACGTCTGGCGGAAGAACCTGTCAAGATGATCTTCAACTCCCACCTCCAGGAGAGCTTCGACTGCGTCCCAAGGGTAGAGGGGGACATTGAGTCTGAATTGGCCTTGTTCCGCTCTGCCATTGTCGAGGCGGCTGTTGTGAGCTGTGGCCGCAAGGCCGCTGGAGCCGCCAGGCTGAAGAAGGAGGCCTACAGGGCATGGTTGGTCTGTGGGTCTCCGGAAGCAGTTGACGCGTACCGGCGGGCCAAGCAGAGCGCAGCAGCGGCAGTCACGGAGGCAAAATCTCAGGTGTGGGAGGAGTTCGGTGAGGCCATGGAGAAAGACTATCGATCAGCTCCAAAGAGGTTCTGGCAAACCGTCCAGCGCCTCAGGGGGGGAAGGCAGCAACTTACATTGTTTGCAGTGGGGGCGGGGAGCTGCTGACTTCAACTGGTGACATTGTCGGGCGATGGAAGGAATACTTTGAGGAGCTCCTCAATCCCACCAACACGTATTCCAGTGAGGAAATAGAGCCGAGGGTCTCGGGGGTGGGTTGTTCAATTTCTGGGGCAGAAGTCGCCGAGGTAGTGAAGCAACTCCGCGGCGGCGGAGCCCCGGGGGTGGATGAGATTCGCCCTGGATATCTCAAGGCTCTGGATGTTGTAGGGCTGTCCTGGCTGACACGTCTCTGCAACATTGCTTGGACATCTGGGGCAGTGCCTCTGGAGTGGCAGACCTGGGTGGTGGTCCCCATCTTCAAGAAAGGGGACCAGAGGGTGTGTTCCAACTACAGGGGGATCACACTCCTCAGCCTACCTGGCAAGGTCTACTCCAGGGTGCTGGAGAAGAGGGTCCAGTCGATAGTTGAACCTCAGATTGAGGTGGAGAAATGTGGTTTTCATCCCAGACGCGGAAACGTGGACCAGCTCTTTACCCTCGCCAGGGTGCTGGAGGGGGCATAGGAGTTTGCCCAACCAGTCCACATGTGTTTTGTGGATTTGGAGAAGGCTTACGACTGTGTCCCCAGGGGCATCCTGTGGGGGGTGCTCCGGGAGTATGGGGTTGGTGGCCCCTTGCTAAGGGCCATCCAGTCCCTGTACCAAAGGAGCGCGAGTCTGGTTTGCGTGGCCGGTGAGGGTTGGACTCCGCCAGGGCTGCCCTTTGTCACCGGTTTTGTTCATAACTTTCATGGACAGAATTTCTAGGCGCAGCCAAGTGGTGGAGGGTGTCAGGTTTGGTGACGGGAGGATCTCGTCCCTGCTTTTTGCGGATGACGTGGTCCTCCTAGTTCCATTTAACAGTTACCTCCAGTTCTTTCTGGGTCTGTTTTCAGCTTAGTGTGAATCTGTTGGTATTAGAATCATCACCTCCAAGTCTGAGGCCATGGTCCTCAGCCGGAAAAGGGTGGATTGCCCACTCCAGGTCGGGGGGGAGGTCCTGCCTCAGGTGGAGGAGTTTAAGTATCTCGGGTTCTTGTTCACAGTAGGATGGAGTGGGAGATTGACAGGTGGATTGGGGCGGTGTCAGCAGTGATGCAGGCGCTTAACCGGTCTGTTGTGGTGAAAAGGGAGCTTAGCCAGAAAGCGAAGCTTTCGATTTTACCGGTAAATCTACGTTCCAAAACTTACCTATGGTCACGAGCTCTGGGTAGTGACCAAAAGAACGAGATTGCGAGTACAAGTGGCCAAAATGAGTTTCCTCCACAGGGTGGCTGGGCTCAGCCTTAGGGATAGGGTGAGGAGCTCGGATATCCGGGAGGGACTCGGAGTAGATCCACTGCTCCTCCACATTGAGAGGAGCCAGTTGAGGTGGTTCGGGCATCTGGTAAGGATGCCTTCCAGACGCCTCCCTTGGGAGGTGTTTCGGGCATGTCCAATCTGGAGTAGACCTCGGGGCCGCCCCAGGACACGCTGGAGGGATTACATCACCCGGCTGGCCTGGGAACGCCTCGGGGTTCCCTCGGAAGAGCTGACAAAAGTGGCTGGGGTGAGGACTGTCTGGGCTTCTTTGCTGAGGCTGCTGCCCCTGCGACCCGGACCTGGATAAGCGGAGGACAACAATTACGAGTACGAGTTTAAGGCCAAAAAACAACACTACCATTGTGCACTTTACACATTGGCTTGTTGGGGCTAAATGGGTTGAGTTTCCCAGCATGCTGTGAGACAATGTGTTTAAGGCCATAAGCTGAAGAAAACTGTTTAAATGGGTTCTAAATCACTCATGTTACCCATTACACAGAGATTAGCATTCACATATCTCGCAGTTGTTCTAATGGTTTACAGTTAATGTTGTGAAAAGAGACATTTTGCACCATAATTTAAGTAGCATACACAGTCACCTCCCGCCTATGTGGATAGTAGAGTGCGTACATGAAGTTGTGTTGAGGTGAAATAAAAAGCATTTCCTGGTTCAGAACTCATCTCTTTGCCTTCATCTCTTTGCCTTTGAAGTAGAGCAGGTCATCCACAAATCGGAAGATCAGCGGTTTGATCTCGGGCTCCTCCAGTCTGCATGTCAGCATCTTTGAGCAAGATACTGAACCCCAAATTACTCCCGATGATGCTTCCGTTGGTGCGTGAGTGTGTTAAAAATTGAGTAGCAGGTGGCACATTGTATGGTAACCTCGGCTACCTGTGTATGAATGTGTGTGTGAATGGGTGAATGTGACTCGTAGTGTAAAAAGTGCTTTGAGTGGTCAGATGACTAGAAAGGCGCCATACAAATGTAGGTCCATTTGCCATTTTGGCAACTAGGATTATTAAGATTACCACAATATATTTTTATAATTCAATGAATGTTAAATGTGAAAAACTGCAAAATTTGTACTCAATGTAGTTATGTTCATATGTCAAAGAATCTAATGCTCAAACAACAAAAAAGAGTAACTGACATAAAATTCCTTTCAGACAAGGGTCATGTGACACATTTATTTTGTGTCTGGTGTACTCAAAACTTTTATGTAACTGTATTGTACTACACTAAAAGTTTTGAGTGCAAGTCATTTCCAAAAAAATGTTTAAGTTGAGTGAGTGAATTGAGGTTTATAGTATACCTATATAACCAACAAACTGACACTGTGTCCTCTTAACAGGTACTCAACTTATGGTAAACTGCAGCAATTATTGCATTCATGAAAATGGCGATACCTGCAGCTCTAAACTGCTGAAGATATATTTCTAGCAAATGGATGGCATAGGTCGGATTGAAACTGCATATCCAAAACTGCAGGTCTGGAGCAACTGACACTGCAGTCCTACAAGGGATTTGTATCAAAGACACTATTTGTCTTTGTTTGATTCATCACACGTGTGTATTTGTCCTTTCTTTTATATGAAAAATAAATTCACTAGGAAATGAACAGGATCCAGTTAGGTAAAATGGTCATTTACAAGCAAAAGTGAAATGATGATCGATGAAAAACAGACAATTACTCAAATACTGTATATAGTCGGAACACTGCTCAGCGTACTTGCCCATCTGTTTCTTAGAATACATTTGACCAAATGATTACAACTGGTAACTGGTTTGATTGTGTTCTAATAGAAATAGAAAGAAATTAGGTTTTTCATACACGTAAATGCAGGTATATAATTAAACATACTGACAGTAAAGAATGGAACATTGACAGTTAATAATTAGAAATATAAATGTGCAATCTTGTTCATTTTTGGTTGTTTGAAGCAGAAATTTTATAACTTCAAAAATACCACATGCAGCTTTACATAGAAAAATAATACAGAGAAATAGACTTCAAGATGCAAAAGGTTTTGAGCAGCAATATCACAGATCTACTGAACAGGTACACAGCACAATAAATTTCACTTGAGCATGCTCCAGTCTAAGAATAGATAGCAGAGGAAATAGACATACTGTAAAAGCTGGCCATTACATAGTTTTGGCAGCGATCACCAGTAAATTCATTTGGACACCTAAGCAGGAAACAGAAGAAACAGACAAGAGGAAAGAAGGAGTTAGTTTATACAAGAGCTATGCAAAACCCACAACAGTCATCACTGGTGTTAGCAGGAAGGGCCAGCTAGACCAATATGTCTAGCTATAGTCTGTGAGTTTATTAGTCATCTCACCTTCATACACAATTATTTTTGAATCATGATTATATGAGAAACAAATTTATTTTTGTACAGGCCCTCCATCAAACTCCACTAGTTTGAATACCATCTTAGCAGCACACTGAAATTTGCATGTACATATGCAGCCACTCAGGACAAGCCTAGTCTTGCCTGTAAAATAATCCTTTATGGAGGGTGTCATGACCCCAGCCACATAGCAACACGGCCCAGATGCATGGCAGTCACACAGCATGGAAACCATATAGAGCATTGATGGTTCTGAGTAATGGCTCTGTTAGTCATGATGTGGCAGCAGCCCAACCAGTGATCTCCTCTGTGTAAGACTTGTTTTTTAACAACTTAGTCTGGACTTTAACATCAAAGTCATCACCTCTTTACCAATCACACACTGGTCCGTCTAGCACTGAACCATTGGGAATGAGTTCTGATGCAGGGAATACCCGTTACAAGAGTGTTCTCTAGGAAGATGGGGGTGAGGCTGAATGGGAAGAGAAGACGAGACACACCATTTAAACTCTAGATGGAGGCAGATCGCTGCCCTGAACAACAAGGATGAGGTGTGATGAGATGTGAAGTACATGCAAATTTCAGTGCACTACTCCACAGGAGAGTGTGCTGAAGGCTGCTAGACATAGATTACAACAGGATCAATGCCCAGCTTATCATCAAATTTGTATCCCTGCATCTATAAGGGAAACATGGATTTCTCCACCATTTCTTGGAGAAAACATGACAGGGGTGAAACACCAGCAATGACATGTGGGATTGAATACAGTTGTGTTCACATACGTTTTGGGTCTGAGACTTTCTTAAGCACAGCTTGTTCACATCGGTGCCCAGTGAATCCCGCCAAGCACCTGAGTGATGGGTAGAAAGGAAAAGAGATAAACAGTACTGACATGTTACACACAAGACATGAGAAGACATGGACAAACACAAAGACATCCAGTCTACAGGCACAAAAAATGGCTGAATCCAGGATACAAGTCTGGTGCCAAACAACAATGCTGTTTTGCAGAGAAAGTTTTTTAATGTCAGAAGCCAGTGATTTTAAAATCCTCATGTTCTACTGTAATATCTGTGCAGGCTATGTGTAAGGTATGGGGAAAAATGTGGTTGTGGCAACAAACAATGTTCAATGTTCACATGATTAGGTTATTGCAGTAAATAAGGAAATATTGTTGGTCAGTTAAAAGGCACAAATTCATGGTTTCTTGCTTGAGGCGGATGTGTTACATGCAAGCAGCAACCCCAGGGCTGAAAAATGTAGCCGTCACAGAAGTGCCATAAACTGCAGTTCTTTGAACAACCACTTGAGGCTGGCTCCTAGAGCGAGTTAATCTCTATAGACCCCCATGTTAAATTGCCCAACTTAACAGCAGAAATAAACACGTTTTGATCTCTATAGCTAATTTCCCCCCTCGTGACAACTGTACAGGGGGTGAATTTTTTTTTAACCATTTGCATTTTATTAAGGCTTAAAGTTATGCATAATTAAGTGTGGACATCTTTGTGTAAAAGGCTGTCTGACAAAAGTGTCCTCAGCTTCTCAGTCAGATCCACCTCTTGCTCTTCCACAGCTCCAGCCTTTCTCCAAATACAGTCACTACTGGCTCCAAAAAAAACAAGATGGCAATGGCCGAAATGCTGAACTGTAGGCTTCAAAATGGGGGTCCACAACCCAATGAGTGACGTCACTGTAGCTACGTCCAATATTTTTACAGTCTGTGGTTACAGACTGATCTACCCCTTGGCCCAACACCTTTACAGACTTTCAGTGCCACTAAAGGGCACATTACTTCCCCCACTGGCATTAATGATGGTTCCATTCTATTCAATTTTCAATCGCTTATCAGAGGCCAGGTCTCGGGGGCAGCAGGCTGAGCAAAGTACTCCGGACACCTCTTTCCCCAGCAACACCTTCCAGCTCCTCCTGGGGGACCCCAAGGCGTTCCCAGGCTAGACGAGATATATAATCCTTTCCACATGTTCTGGGTCTGCCCTGGGGTCTCCCACCAGTTGGACGTGTCCAGATCACCTCTAATGGGAGGTGCCCAGGAGGATCCTGATCAGATGCCCGAACCACCTCAACTGGCCCCTTTTGACGCAAAGGAGCAGCAGCTCTACTTTGAGCTCTAATTGGACGTCTAAGCTCCTTACCGTAGCTTCAAGGCTCCAAGGCTATCTTCAGCCACCCTTCGGAGGAAACTCATTTTGGCTGCGTGCATGGGTGATCTCATTCTGTTGGTCATTACCCATAGCTCATGAGCATAGGTGAGGGTTAGGATATAGACAGACCAGTAAATCTAAAGCTTTAAATGATGGTAGTGGAGCTAAATCATGAGGTGCAGAATCATCCAATATAAATATTACTCCTGACTGACAGTGTCAAACTAGTGTTTTTGCTACAGAGCTAATATGCCAGAGCCCTTCTGCACTTCTGCATCAGTGGTTTAATGACTTAATGTAATTTAAGAGTTTTTAGTTTATACTTTCATTAGGGGTTCCAGCCCCAAAGTGGCAGAACCATAATGATTTTGGGCTGGTTTATTATAATTATTCATTGTCTTCCACTGCAGCTACAACTGCCATGAGCCAGAGACATGAAACTTGGCCCAGTAACTCAAAATGATGTACAAATGTCCCAAATCAGCCACATGGTGGTGCAGAAATTAATGCAGAAAAACAAATAATTTTGGAAAAGCCAACTGACTTGACGGCAAGTCCAACTTACTTGAAATTTGGAACACATATCCAGCTCTACAAAAAACCCTCTGGGACCATAGAAGTCCACCATGATGGGTTTTTTGGCAATTTGCATGATGTGAAAAACAGTAATGTGAATATCATATATTATGTATTTCAACTCTATCAACACCCATTTTGGTATACAGCATTGTGGTACATGGCCACAATGAATCCAAAAGTCTTTGCAAAGGGAGAGACTTAGCAGGAAATAGGCCATAACTCAAGTTGTGTCAGAGCAACCCATAGACAAACCCACCACCATTGACAAGGTGCTGCAGTAATGTTTTGACATTTAAATTTTTCGGAAACTTGCGACAAGCCCCTAATCTGATGAAAACGCCCATGGTGCATGATTTAGTGCATACATGTGTATATGCATGAACATGTAGTACACTTAAGGGTCCCTGTTGGAGGTTTGAAGATATGGTCAGCCTATCCTAAGAAGATCCACCACTGTCCCCCACTGTTTACTGTATAAATAAAACCTAAATTTCCATAAAACTCATCCCTAAATCCATGCATGGAGCATGATGCTACTGAGATTTCTTCAACTCACTGGAGTCAATGGGCCTGATGCAAGAACCACTTGTACAAACAGATTTGATCTTAAGTGGCATGTGTGAAAGAATTTGTCTAATTTTCTTTTCACAACTGCTCCAGAGCCATTTTATAATTTTACAGTAAATGTACAGTCTGCATTTCTCCAAAACACTTGTTTGGACTGAAAAATCATCTGAATGAATTTGAAATTCAAGTGAGATACTGAAATCAATTAAAGCAAAGTATATAGGACCAAGTAAGTAAAAAGACCCCTGCCTGTGCAGACAGGCATCACCACATCCTCCATTCTCCCTGACTCTCAACACTGGAGCCCCTCAGAACTGTGTGCTCAGCCCTTTCATGCACTTCGTGTTCACATATGCCTGTGTGGCCACACACAGCTCCAACATTAAGTTTGCTGTTGACCCAACCACCATCAGCCTTTGTGTGTAAGTATTTGCGGGTGTATTTTTGTCTCCTTTTACTATCTTAATTTGTAAAAAAAGCCTCCTGTGGACAGGTGTTGCAAATTATTTTTACACCTCAAACACTAAACACATTGTATCTGGTGCATAAATGTACAATTCTAATGCTACTGTGATGTACAGATCAAATCAAATACACTAAAGTAAACTAATCACTGACAGCGACAAGACGGCCAAGAGGAAGGAGGTCAGAGCCCTAACATCTGGATGCCATTACAACAATCTCCATCTGAATGTCAGCAATGCTAAGAAGTTGACTACAGGAAGTGAAAGGGGAAAAGGACATGCCCCCATCTCCATTAACAGTACTGCTGTGGAGAGAGTCAGCAGCTTCAGGTTCCTTGGGTTTCATATCACTGAGGACCTGAATTGGAGTCACCACACTAACAATATCAGGAAGACAGCGAAACAGCTTCCTTTGCAGGCTAAGTAGATTTAACATCAGCAACTCCTACACCTGCACCACCGAGAGTATCCTGACTGGCTGCATCACCACCTGGTATGGCAGTTGCACCGCTCTCAAGGGTGCTGAAAACTGCTCAGTACATCACCAGGATGGAGCTGCTATCCATGGAGGACCTCTACACCCAGCAGTATAGGAAGAAGGTCAACAGGGTTATCAAAGACCCCACTGACCCCAGCCACAAACCGTTCTGTCTGCTGTTGTCTGCCAGATGGTACCACAGCACAGCAGTGTAGTCTAACGTAATACGCAGGTATACACTGAATACCCACTAAAACAACACCAGGAATCCTGTAAACCCACTTAAAATGTGCAAGAATACATAACAACATAGTTCTGTGGCAGAACTTTCACTTCAGCAACTTGTTTTAGCAAGTATGGGGTCAAGAGATGTGACAGCAAATTGAACAAAGGCCAGAGAAAATGCAGAGAGACACTCAATGCCTCTCCTCACTCCCATCCTGCTAAGCTTAGTGAGTAGTGTGTGCATAGCGAGTGTTTGGCTGTAAATTAGCAGTCAAGTAGTAGTAAATGAACAATGTTGGTTTCAGGTTGTCCATTATGTAATAAACACTGCAGGTCCTCAAGACCAAAGGAAAGTTCCTGTGTCTTGCTTCTTAACTGCTGGGTAAAGTGAAGCTGGTTAGCATTAACCTCAGCTCTGAGGGCAAAACAAAGTGTCCTAGTTATCCTGCCACCTTATAACACATGGTATGTCGTGGCTTCCCATTCAGGAGGGGCTTTGAGTTTGACCACGATCTAGACCTGACCTACTGGTACACAATTTTCAGCAATTCTTGCTTTTTTCAAGTACTGTTTTAAAAATAATTACATTTGTCAGTTTTATATGATATACACTATCTCAGTCTGAAGATACAGCTGTCATCTGTCATCAGAAGAACTTCACCCATTCCAGCATATGAAACACATGATCATATTGTTTATATACATGACAGGATATAAATATACAGTATTTTCAGAGTAGCTTCCCCAACACTTAACAGCAAAATTGCATTCAGTTTGCATGACTCAGTATATAGGATTTCATAAATCACAGTAACTATTTTATAACATATACAGTCAGATGAAAACTTGAATCAAAGTCAGTATTATAACCTACTGTCCATATCATACCTGCAAAGAAACTTTGTGCTGCCTGGCATGATTTCAAGGGTGAAGCATTCCCCTCCATTAACACAGTAGTTCCTCTGGCTGTCAGTGCAGCGCGTCACATGACTGGAGGTCTTGGCTGTAGTGGCGGTGCTGGTGGCAGCTGCAGAGGACACCCACAGTTAGTGCAGCAAGAAGACAACACTGGCACAAAGATTACACTGAGTTAATAAATGAAGTAAGGTGTACCGGCTGCATGTTTATTGAATTTGGAGAAAACATCCCACCATTTGTTCCTTCACAAAGTGAAGGTAAATCTGAAATAGCACCTGCAGTCAGACTGGACTGCAAATAAAAATAGTATCAAAATGTCCATAGAAACATGTTAATCCACCATGTCACTACTACACTTTCCATTCACGTGTTCAGTATGTTCCAAACACTCATTTCAAAACATTCTTGTCAATAGCAAAGGCTTTTTCAATTTGTTGTAATAGACCAAAACTAAGAACACAATTGAAATGGAGGCCATATTCAGCCATATTGTTGTGCAAATACTTTTTGGAGCATGAGTAGTAGAATTGCATTATGCAGCAAAAATGTAAGCAAAGAATATTCTAAAATTGTCATGGTTACCAGAGTCCAGTCTGACTACAGCTGCCATCCTCCATGAAGAAGCAAACTACAAACTTTTCAAAACCATTGTACAAGATTTCAAGCAGTAACTATTTGATGGTATTTTGGGTGGACTATTCCTTTAAATGATTGGTGAGCATTTAGTTACACATTCTGTGATTTACAGGACATACTGTAGATTTGGTATACATTTTCCCTGTCTGACTCATCTCAGATCAGCATCACTGAGTGAAACACTTGTTGTTCTCTATTACAATAAAAATAAAAATCCCAATGAATAAAATCTCCCTAACATATTTTTCAAACACTAATATACTGTAGGCAAGGCTCAGAAAATTTTACACATAAGCAATTTGCCTCTGACTCAATGTACCATTTTGATATCACCTGTGGCAATGCAAAGAATGGATCACTGGTGTTTGGTGAGATATACGGTTTACACTGTAAAAGAGAGAGAGACTGAAAAAATGAGCTTTTGGGACAATATACAGACAATCGTACTGTAGATTGTCTGTATATTGTCCCAAAAGCTCATTTTTTCAGTCTGATACGATTTCAAAAATAGTCAAATGTACCAAATGTGACCATCTGCACTAATGACCTGAAAATAGATGGGATTTTAAAAAAAAGATAGATAGGTAGATGGATAGATAGATAGATTGATAGATAGATATCTCCAGGTTCTCCAGCTTCCTCCCACAGTCCAAAGACATGCAGGTTAATTGGTGACTCTAAATTGGCCAGAGGTGTGAATGTGAGTGTGAATGGTTGTCTGTCTCTATGTGTCAGCCCCGTGATATTCTGGCGACCTGTCCAGGGTGTACCCCCCGTCTCATCCAATGAAAGCTGGGATAGGCTGCATTAGAGCTTAGATCGGGCCGGCCCGTCCAATTAACGGTAATTATGGGCCCGAGCCCGATTTAAACCCGACATTTTTCAATAAGTTGGCTGTTATAATTAAGAGTATTAAATCACAAGTCTTGTTATTTGAATGACAGAAACATACGATCTTAATGAATGGCGCAACACGGAAGCATGATTATGTAATAAAACAGGTGTTTATTTTAGGATCCTGGTGGTGAAGTGCTGTGCGCTCACAATGTTGCAACATTGTAACTGAGGGCCGAATTCACAAAAGGATTGCGTGGCTTTTGCGGCCGCGTAAAGGGTGAAATGCTCCACTAACTGCGCTGCCAAGCAGATTTCTATTCAAATGAGCCTCATTGATAAACAACGTCTAATTCACTAACACCAGCGCTAATAGCCACACGCAGGCTGAGTGAAGTAAATAACGTCTTTAGAAAGCTGGTGCACACTGGGCGCTCCACTGTGGAAGCCTCTCCCCCAGACTTTCCAGTGATCGTGGCAGCAGTGATTTACAGTTAACAGTCTGTAAATAATATTTTGACATTACTATTATAATCATTATTACATTAATGGCATCCGAAGATATTGATGCGTTGACCAGGTGACAGTCTGCGGTCGTTCTCAAAACGCACTTCTGTCACGCACTTCAAAAGCAACTTTCAATAATTTATTTTACGGAACGGGGGAAACAAACGTGAACAAAAACGGTTCCATAATTCATATTAAATTCAAAAGATAACGAAAAAACAGCTACAAGTGAGAGGGAATAGTGATAAAGTGGTCAGACTTGGTCAAATCCACAGCCTCAACCCATCCGACACTGTTAGACTGACTCACCAGCAGACATCACTACATGAGGGTATACAGTATTCAGTACTTTGCCAAACAAAGTCTGCCATTGTTCTGCCACAGTGTTCTTGGCGCAAAGCCAGCATTTATACTTTGCCATGTGTGGCTTATTGCAGTCAGGGGCAAATCAGGGGCAAACTGCACTCAGCTGGCAAACTTTGTGGGCGTGTTTGAGCTGGTATATCATTAGCGCAATATCCTTCGTGAATAGGACGTTAAGACGGCGCAAACTGCGGGTGCAAAAAGTGTAATTCGGACATGTGGAAAGGATGACGCAGTTATTCTGCAATTAAACCACCGTTTATTACTGACCAGTACAGGTTACTGTTGGCTGTAACTACGCCAAAACAACCAACAAACAACAACTTAGCTATAACTCCATCTGTGCACTCCTGCTCTTTCCTCCAGCTCGCTCATACACACACCAGCACGCGCACTCACACAGCTCTCATCCCCGTCACACTCGTACCCCGCACCTCATTCAATCCCAAACATGCCATTAACTCACAGAACATTGACATTATAACAGAACATTTACTGCAGGGTCGCTACAATACATAGCCTATAACATTATAAAATCATAGCTTTAAAAAAAAGAGATAATCTAAGCTCTAGGCTGCATCCCTCTGCGACAGTTTGGACACTGGGATGTCCAAACTTTTTTTAATGGGTGCCACATTAGATAATGTGAATGGGCCAGCTGCTTCTGGCATCATGAGTTATTAAAAAATCACAAACTAGACAAATACAACTCACTGTCATCTTTCAGTGAAAATGTATTCAACTTTCCACTACTTCTTGAAGCAACTGTTGACTTAACACTTCTTTGCTGTGGTCATGTCAGTGTCAGCTGTTAGATAACCACTTGTTTGCTTGTTTACCGTCTATTTATAAAAAACGTTAGTTCCACCTGCCTAGTTCCTACTTGATGGATGTCTATAAACTGTATGGTACTCCTGCCATCCTGAGGTGAAAAGAAAAATGCAAAGTGATCTTGCATGATTAACCAATATTGTTTGGTGGGCTATATATACTGTATAGTATCTTTTGAAAGTCAAGCCGAGGGCCATTTAAAATTGGTCTGTGGGCTGTGATTGGCTTCCATGCCAGACTTTAGACATGGATGCTGTAAAGAATACACATGTGTGGATAACAGGTGAATGAATACACAGTATAATACAAAGGGAGTGAAACCTGTAGTAAAAAGTCTGCAAAGCACCGGCCACACCACTGACTGCTGCTTATTAAGATAATTTCTTTGAGCTGACAATGATGACAATATTCAGGGAGACTTTAGTGAGAAAGTCACACCACCCCTACCACCACATTCACCCCTACAGGAAATTTAGAGTTTACACCTGCATGTCTTTGAACAGCAGTACACTGAGTCAGCTCACTGAGATCTGTCATGTCAGTGGTCCTAATAACATCTGACACTTATTCATGTCATGTAAATGGTGAGGCAACAGATTTTGCTTCTCTGTACTGAAACTATTTCCTGATAAATCTTTGTCATTGTTCAGGGGTGATATTGCACACATCAAGATTGAAATATACTCATATTCATGGATGCAACTACATTCCTTGATTACTGAAAATCCATTCTTAAAAAAAAAAAAGAAGGCTTTAAGGGGTCGAATGAGTACAGTGAGTACAATACAGACTATCTCAGCATTACACAGCACATTTCAGCACTGCAACAAGGAGCTGCCTCAGATAACTGATAAAAGAATGAATGAGACTGCAGAAGAGATTATGCAGCCGAGTAGAGATGCACATTGATTAGGGCGTAAGACATATACAGCCTAAGGAACGCTGAATCAGAACTTTCATTCCATTCTTGTCTGTATTGAACATAATGTCTTTATGACAGCATTTTAATTGATGTTGGAGAATAATAAATAAATAAAGATATGAAGGGAGTCTGGTGTGCAAGTTCTACTTCAAGAGAAAATTGACTGCATTTACTAGTCTTTGATTATTTTTGTGGCATCAAAACATGAACTTGCTATCAAAGCCATTACTGTTAATGATTTGCTTTGGAAATATTACTCAGTAATCAGTGGATGTATTACAAACAAGGACCAAACTATAACATTAATGAATCAACAGCCTGACATGGACAGTAAATATTGTTATTGTACACATTTTAGCCCCAGTAACTGCTCAGTGGAGTGGGGTGTGTCAGAGTTATCACAGCTGAGGGGTTTCAGTTACACTGCTCAAAGCAGAGCAGCTGTTTTTGTCCTCATCATGCCTGATGGAGTGCAGAGAGCAATGCAGAATTCTCAGTTCCATTTTTGCTGGTGGGTCAGAAACATTAAACCAGTGAGCAGTGACACCGTGCTGGAGCTTAGCCAACAGGCTGCCTCACTTTCCTGGTCTTTGGGCAAGGCTTGGGTTGTATATGCAGAGCAATCAGCCAACTGCAGTGGATGGTCTTTCTGTCAAGTGTTGTCAAGGACAAACCATGATGCAGTGCACCAGCAGAAATCTCCCTCTGCATGATTAAGTGGAATCACAGCAGTCACATTAGTGGAGGTGAAAATGGACCAAATGGTTTAAATGTAAATCAAATACTATAATGCATATAGACCACACATTTTGTCAACACCGCAACAAAATAAAATCAGTGAAGTTTAAAAACAAATGTGACTAACACAAAGACTATAGGCTGTTCGCCTATAGAGAATGTACTCTTAGCAACCCCCCCATAGAACCATTCATTCCATCCACAACATTCATTCTGGAGTGGCAGCACAGTACCCTGTGCTGTGCTTTTCATTACCTTATTCATTCAAACATTCCAGC